AGCGTGCTGTACACAAAGAAGCTGGAAATCGACAGGGTGTTCGAGTTGCTCGCAGGTCTTCATCGCGACCTCGGTGAGGTTCGCAGTCTGATACTTGGCCAACATCCCCTTCCCTCGCTGAGGGAAGTCTTTTCGGAGGTGAGACGGGAAGAAGACCGATAGAAGATCATCCTGAGCGAGTCCAATGCATCGGCGATGGAACTTGGAAGTGTCGGGACTAATTTCCAACAAACTTGAGTTGTCTGGATATGGGTTGAAGAATAAAGAAGGCAGTAGACCTACTGTTGGGCCAACTAGTGGCAAATGGACCAGCTGGGTTTAATAATTGAATGGGCTTGAATATTGGACCAAATAAGTTAAATAATGGACCTTGGATGATGGGCCTATATTCTAAGGGAGGCACAACTGGGCCAGGTCCAAAACAACGAGGTTAGCCGTGGTGTGAGCATTGTCGAAAACCAGGACACAAAAAGGATATTTGTTGGGATTTACACGGGAAATCGAAACAAAATAATAAAAATCGTGGGTATCAAGCATCTGTTGATTACCAAATGGGAAAGACTGAGTCAAGTGGTGCATTCAATACTGAACAAATGGAGCAACTATACAAAATGTTTTCTAGCCTCCAATCATCAAGTCAAACATCCACAAAAAATCCCTCTTAACTCATTAGCCCACAGAGGTAATTTTTTAAGCTAGTTACAGTCTATTACTCAATCTAAAATTCTCTGGATTATTGACTTAGGAGCTTCAGACCATATGACAAATTTCTACCAAGTGTTCACTACATACTCTACCTATGCTAGCAATCTGAAAGTTAAAATTGCAGATGGCTCATTGTCTTTGGTTGCAAGAAAAGGAAGTATAAAAATTTCTAACTCTACAACTTTAGAATATGTCCTTCACTTTCCAAAGTTGTCGTGTAATTTACTATCCATAAGCTAATTGACAAAAACCTCAAATTGTTCTACTAAATTTTTCTCATTTTATTGGGGTTTTCAATACCTATCATTGGGAAAAACAATTGGCAGTGTTAAGAAAAGTGAAGGACTCTATTACTTTGATGAGATAAATGTGGGTAAACAAAGTCAAGTTACCATTTGTAATTCTACATCTGTCTCTAGTGATAGTGATATTTTGTTATGATATTTTAGAATGAGTCATCCAAACTTTCAGTACCTAAAACATGCTCTCTCATCAATTTCTATGAATAAAAATTCCATTGATATTCAACGTGAAATATGTGAGTTTGCAAAACATCAACGTACATCATTCCCAACCTCCACATACAAACCATTCAAGCCATTTACTATGATATATAGCGACTTATGGGGTCCCTCACGAATTCCCATTTGGACTCATGCAAAGTGGTTTGTGGTGTTCATTTACAATCACGGGTATACCTACTAAAAGATAAATCAGATATTTGCTCTGTATTCATCAACTTTTACTCCATGATCCAAACACAAATTCAAATTTTACGTACGGATAATGACACTGAATACTTCAATACCACTATGGGTAATTTTCTCCAATTACATGGAATAATTCATCAAAGCTTTTGCGTTGATTCCTTCCAACAAAATTGGATTGTCAAACGCAAGAATAGACACATTCTAGAAGTTGCTCTTGCATTGATGTTCACTTCTAATATGCCAAAAATGTTCTGGGGGATGCAATCCGGACATCCACCTATCTAATCAATAGAATGCCGAGTCATGCCTTAAACTTCGAATCTCCCTCCAAAAAATTCAAACATTGTTTCCTACCTCTGGCTTCAACGCCAACCTACCCTTACGGGTGCTTGGATGTACTGCTTTCATTCATATTCATTCTCATCGCCAAGGTAAACTGGATCCTCGAGCAGTTAAATGTGTTCTGATCGGATATTCCCTTACTTAAAAGGGTTACAAATGCTATGATCCCTCCACGAAAAAAAATTTGAGAGTCTTGATGTCATCTTCTTCGCAACGACCCTGTATATCCCAGAAACCTCTCTTCAGGAGGAGACACTACATGAAGATCGGTCCCTAGACATTGACCTCAATTTTCTCGAACCTACATTTACCAACAGCCCTATATCACCATTTAGTATGCCATTAACAGAGGACAACTTACAGCCAGGGAGAGATGTGGAAAAACAAAGTAATAAAGACTTACTAGTTTACTCACGAAAGCCAAAATCAAAGTAAAAAGAAACCATTACATCTGAGGCACCAAAAGAGTCAGAACCGATGATGGCTCCTCAAAAAGCTTAAGATATTCCTGACTTACCCATTGCTCTCAGAAAACCTACTCGATTATGTACTCTCTACCCTATTTTCAAAATTTATAATTATAATGCTTTATCTACTAGATTTCATCATTTTACATCTCATCTTAACAACACAAAGATCCTGAGAAATATTGGAGAAGCCTTGAAAGTTCCTAAATGGAGGGAAGCTATATTGGAGGAGATGAGGGCACTAGAAAAAAATGAGACTTGGGAGGTATTAAACCTACTGAAAGGAAAGAAACTAGTTGGGTACAAATGGGTCTTCAATTTGAAATACAGAGCTGATGGGACGATAGAATGGTACAAAGCTTGATTTGTTGCAAAAAGGATACACACAAACCTATGGCATTGACTACACAGAAACGTTTGCACCAGCAGCGAAATTGAATACAATCTGGGTTCTTCTATCCTTAGCAGCCAACTTAGATTGGCCACTACAACTTGACATTAAAAATGTCTTTTTGAACGGAGAATTAGATGAGGAAGTTTTCATGACTTTACCACCTAGGTTCAGTAGAGTTGATGAAGTAAATAAAGTATGCAAACTCAAGAAGTCTCTATACGGACTAAAACAGTTACCAAGGACATGGTTTGACAGATTCGCAAATGTGCTAAAAGGTCAAGGATATCAACAATAACAGTCAGATCATACTATGTTTTAACAAAGACAATCTTAATTGTATATGTTGATGATATTGTTCTAACGTGACAATGTAGCGGAGACTGAAAGACTAAAGAAATGCCTTGCCACCGAATTCGAGGTGAAGGATTTGGGACAAATGTGAGATTTCATGGGAATGAAGGTGGCAAGATCAAAAGGTGGAATTATTGTTTCACAACGAAAAAGTCATTGATCTCTTAACCAGAACAAGGACGCTACATTGTAAATCGAGTGATACACCTATCGAAGCAGGAAAAAAACCTAAAGAGGATTGAAAGGAAGTGGAAAGAGATGGATACCAAAGAATGCTCGAAAAGTTAATATGCTTATCACACACTAGACCTAATATTGCATTTGCAGTGAGCCGTGTAAGTCAACATATGCAGACACCAAAGGAAAGTCACCTGAAAGCAGTGTATAAGATACTGAGATACCTTAAGGGACTGTTCTTCAAAAAAAGTGAAAAAAAGAGATTGAAACCTTTACAGATGCAGATTGGGCAGGTTCAATAGAAGATAGAAGATCAAATACTGGCTATTGCACCTATATGTGGGGAAATCTTGTAACTTGGAGGAGTAAGAAACAAAATGTGGTTGCCAGAAGTAGCGCTAAAGCTGAATTTAGAGCCGTAGCACAAGGAATATGTGAAGGGCTGTGGCTGAGAAAGCTCCCAGAAGAATTGCATGACAAAGCAAAATTTCCCATCAAAGTCTTTTGTGATAACAAGGCAACAATCAATATCTCACTTAATCCAGTCCAACATGATTGTACTAAGCGTATAGAAGTTGACAAACACTTCATAAAGGAGAAAGTTGAGAAAGGAACCATTTGCATGACTTATGTTCCTACACAAGAGCAAATTGCAAATATCTTTACTAAGGGACTACCCCAACCAAGCTTCAATAATTTTATATGCAAGTTGGACATGATTAACATCTTTGATCCAACTTGAGGGGGGTGTGGAAACTAGATCATATCAAATAAAGATAGGAACCAAATTGATTATAGAATATTTACATTCCATAATTGGTGTGATGTAGAATATGTATTGATTTCTTTCTTGTTTTAGGAGAGTAGATTTTTTCCTTATTTACCAATCCCTGTACACTATAAATTGTAACCTCTTTCACTGTATGTATATCAAGAAATAAATTACAATTCATCTTTCATCAAAAAGGCGAGTAACCTCCTTTAGGATCCAACCCTTTATCATTTACATTATGATCATGCAAATGGCAATAGAACTCTGAAAAGAACGTTGTTTACACATGTATATTACATGATAACAATCCAAGCAAAGTCATACCAATTTTTCTTCTTGTTTTTGGGATCTCAAACTTCTACTTATTTGCCCTATAATTTTCTCATTAATTTCTGAGGACAGTCGTATAAGATAAAATATTAAGAAGTACGAGGTCAAGATTGAAACATGTAGAGCCAAGGTACAGAATTCATCAACCTGATTTTTAAGGGCAATAATGCATGCTGTTGAGGAACCCATGGCTTTAGTCTTTGCTTGCACCTTTTCTAATACCTGCAACGGGTCAATATCACCATTAGGTTCATCTCGAATTGCCGGCACTGAATTAGTCATGAGCTCACGAGCATATTCTCCAGCATTAATACCAACATGTGCCCAACCATCAACTCCTTCGGCAACTCCAATTGCTTGCTCATCCACATATATAAAATGAGCATCTTCCCCACCAGTTTCTTCTTTAGCAGAATGAGGCATGTAACATGCTCCGAAAAGTAGTTTTAGAACCCATTCACCAAGGATTCTGGAACAACAACAGATAAATATAACCTCATTATAGATTACTGTCTGAAGTTCATATTCTAATCAAGTAAAAATTCAATCTGGCACGACCTCATGCTAACTGAAAAACTAAAAGAAAGTCATATTTAGGCCAAAAAAGACATTTGGAGTAGACTCTAGCAGCAATAAATTTCATAATGGCACCTTTGCAATTAAAAGATAAGTTCTTCTCTATTTTAAGTTTGTACAAGAACAAAACTAAGCATTCAGTAACAATGCAAAACTTTAAAGCAGTAATTATTCAATTCATCCAGCAATATTACAGTACGATCACATATATATGCCAATATTTTAGCTAGGACTTAAAATCAGTCTTTAACAAATTCAGACTCAATTAAGAGCTGCAAATAGACCTCTCATCTGAAATTGCTAGACTTCTAAGCTCATCAATACATGAAGATCCATCAATTGACAAATTAGACATAATCCCATCAGAGTAACATGAAGGTGAGAATGTACAATGATTATTTTGCCGTGTTCCAAGAGGCAGATTAGATATGTAAGACCTTTCCGTAAGATCAAACATAAAATATACTTGGACTCCCTTAAGGCCATTAGCTGCTCCATTTCTCAAACTCACTCTAGCCTTCCGACAATTCTTACTGTTCCTATCACTAAAATAGACACCACTGGGCTTCGCAAAAGTTGAGGCATTTCCACAACCTAAGACTAAAGTATCGACAACAAGATCTCCTACAGCAATTGTAGTACCAAAAACTGTCGTGGCTATTCTATTACATCGAACACTTGAATAATTCAATGCTTCACAAGTTGAGCCGAGTACAACAACCCTAGAATTTTTCCTAGGAAAACAAGCTTTAATTAAATAGGAGGATTGAGATTTTCTTAATATCACGGCCCTTTGAAAACCAAAACCAAAAGCAGTATTCAGATTTGATTGTAACCTAGAAGGAATTTTCTGAACACGTAGATTACGAAAACCAATTCAGCCTAATTTCGAAAAACTCCAAACAAACTCCATAAACCAACCGTTCATACTGCTTAAAAATCACAATAAAGCCCTGGGTAACAAATAACAGTGCCGCCAAATTAATCAAAACCTTGACATCTGAAAATAAAAGTCAAAATGGGCTATTAAAATCCATAAAAGTGAAACATTACATTTACATATACGTGAAGAAACAAGTAAAGAATACCGGGGAGCGAAGAGAAAATTTTGAGAGAGGAAATCTTCCATAAAACACAAAAGAAAGGGGAAATGGGTAGAGTAAATCTAAAGATACCTGTATAGGATAATTTATTATCTTAAATCACCGAATCTTTCATGTTAAATCATCAAGAAATACATAAATTATGGCGGAAGCATACCTGAATCAGACATGATTATTTGCAATAATTGAATCATGTGGTATAGTCTTCCAAATTTATATACAACCTTCTTTTTTCTCTCTGTGATGGGATGCAGAAGAGAATGAATAATACGTAGTGTGATCTGGGGACCATAACCGTATTTATCCTTTGACCTAATTCGACCCATCATGGAAGTAGGGACTTGGGCCCGGTCTCTACACCTTTATAAACCCACACTTTAATTGGATGCATAAACCAAAATCGAAGCCTTATTAGATAACTTGACATGGGTTCAACCGAATTTGATAGCCTTTAATTTAATACACAATTATTCACACATATAAGCCTATCTATTGATTAAAAATCCTTACAATCTTCCGCTTGGGCCATATGTGTAACCTTATAATTGTGAATTAAATATAGCCTTATAAATACTTAGAATTTTGCTATCATTACTGAATGCATCCCCAAACAATTCCGTCCATCAATCATATCAACATAGGATCAAAGCGACTTTTGCTACCTTCATTGTAGCTAAACGCATCAATGGTCACGTATATCGATATAACTAAATGACATAGATCAAGTATGGATGTATAGCATGAAAATTACATGTGATGTGATCTGTAACATGCCTATTTCCAACTGGTCCACCTTAATATCTTAGTGAGATCATTTTAAACAAGTTCAGAGATAATAAACTAAATAACTTTATAATCGAAAATAACTTTAACCTTAAACCGTATTTAAAATTACATTACATGTGTCAAATATGAAAAGCAAAAGTACAAACTCCCACTGAAACTAGATATCTTCAAAAGACATTACACCCATATGAGCAGTGTGCTCATGAAAGACCTTGGGTATTAATCCCTTATTAAGCGGATCCGTAACCATAGAGTTTGTCCCAATATGCTCTATTAACACCCGTTCACTCTGAACTCTTTCTTTAATAGTTAAGAACTTGATCTCTATATGTTTTGACTTTGTCGAGCTCTTGTTGTTATTGAAATATAGCACTGCTAATTTATTGTCACAAAATATTTTGAACAGTGTTTCTATATTGCCCACAATGCGTAGCCCAATCAAAAAATTACACAGCCATATTCCATGATTTGATGTCTCATAATACGCTATAAACTCCGCTTCCATAGTGGAAGTAGCTATGAGTATCTGCTTAGCACTCTTCTAGGAAATAGCACCTCCAGCAAGCAGGTAAATATAGTCTGAAGTGGATCTCCTATTATCTTGGCATCCTGCAAAATCGAAATTAGAATAACCTATGATCTCCAACTGATCCGATCTCCTGTATGTAAGCATGTAGTCTTTTGTTCTCTGTAAATACCGCATGACCCGTTTGGCTGCTTTCCAATGATCAATTTCTGATTTACTTAAATATCTCCCTAGCATCCCAACAATGTACGCTATACCCGAACGCGCACAAACCTGAGCACACATTAGACTCCTTATAGCTGAGGAATAAGGAATCTTCTGTATTTCTTTAATTTCCAAGTCATTTTTAGGGCACTGACTTAAGCTGAACTTGTCTCCTTTAGCCACAGGGGTGTCACCTGGTTTACAATCTTGCATGCCATATCTTTTAAGTACTTTTTCGATATAGCTCTTTTGTGATATCCAAGAATACTCCGAGAACGACCTCAGTGTATCTGAATTCCTAATACAAAAAGGCGTCACCAAGATCTTTTATCTCAAAATTCTTTGCTAGAAATCTCTTGGTTTCGTGCAATAAGCCTATATCGTTGCTGGCAAGCAATAGGTCATCGACATATAAAACAAGGAAGATACACTTGCTCCCACTGAACTTGTGGTATATACAATCATTGACCAAATTCATCTCAAAACTAAATGAGATGATTATTTGATGAAATTTGTAATACCATTGACGAAACGTCTGTTTAAGTCCATAGATGGATTTCTTTAATTTACAAACCATTTGCTTTGCATCGTCTGATATAAAGTTTTCTGGTTGTACCATATAAATTATTTTATCAATGTCATCATTGAGAAACGCTGTCTTAACATCCATTTGATGTAGTTCAAGATCGAAATGCGCTACCAATGCCATTATATTCCTGAAAGAGTCTTTCGAAGAAACCGGAGAGAAACTTCATAACCGATGCCTTCTTTCTATGTAAAACCCTTTGTAACAAGACGAGCCTTATACTTCTCTACATCACCCTTCGAATCCCTCTTGGTCTTAAATATCCATTTGCAACCAATGGATTTTGCGCCTTCAGGTAATGGAACAAGGTCCCATACGTCATTGTCCTTCATGGACTTTATCTCTTCATTGCTTTAGTTGTGGGATCATAAAACTTGTAACCCCTGGATCTTTCAGAATATCCAATAAAGTAGCAACTAATGGTCCTTGCGTCCAGTTTCTTTTCATTTGGCTTATAGGGCCATGCCTCAGCTGGATACCCCCAAATATGTATATGCTACAAACTAGGCTTCTTGCCCATCCAAAGCTCATATGGGGTTTTATCAGTGGCCTTAGTTGGAACTCTATTGAGTATATACGCTGTGATCTTTAATGCTTCATCCCAGAGAGATTCTGGTAAGGTAGAATGACTAATCATACTCCTTACCATGTCCTTAAGTGTTCTGTTTCGTCTCTCAACAACACCATTCATAGTGGGCGAACCTTGCATAGTGTACTATAGGACGATATCACATTCCTCTAGGAATTTAGCAAATGGTCCTGGACACTATTCACCTGAACCGTCATATCTGCCTAGTATTCACCACCACGGTCAGATTTGACGCTTTTAATCCTTTTGCTGAGTTGGTTCTCAACTTTTGCTTTATAGTTTTGAACACATCCAGTGACCGTGATTTTTCATGAATAAGATACATGTAGTCATATCTTGAAAAGTCATCTATGAACGTTATAAAATATTGTTGACCATTCCAAGAACCCGTAGAGAATGGTCCACAAATGTCTGTATATATAAGTTCTAAGACGTCTAATGTCCTATTGGCTTGAAATCTCCTTTTATTGGTTTGTTTTTCCTTTATATAGTTGACACAAAAATCATAATCTGTGAAGTCAAGAGGGTAAAGCAAGTCTCTCAATTCTCCTGGAGTCATGACCTAATCTCTTATGCCACAACGAGGCAGAATTCTGGCTGATTAATTTTCACTTTACACTTCGAGTACTCATATGCAAGAATTCATTATAAGAAGCAATTGTATCAATTGAATAAAAATTATCGTAACCTGATAAAGAACCGGAACCAACCAATTTTGAATCATGAAGCAAACTAAAAATTTCATTTCCAAATGAACAAGAATAACCAAATTTGTCCAAAATAGAGATAGAAATTAAATTTCGTCTAAAAGATGGTACAATAAATGTCTTAACAAGATCCAAATAAAATCCAGTCTTTAATAATAATCTAAATTTTCCTATTGCCTCTACTTCCACCTTCTTGCCGTCGCCAGCATAGATGTATCTTTCACCATCACTTGGTTTTCGGCAACTCAGGTAACCCTGCATAGACATAATGATGTGAGTTGTTGCACCAGAACCTATCCACCATGTATGTCTAGGTACCGAAGTTAAATTAACCTCAGAACAAACCAAATGAAAAAGAATACATTTCTTTACACGCCATGCGTGGTAATTGATGCAATTCTTCTTCTTATGACCTGTAACTCCACAGAAGAAACAATCACCTTCAGTTGGTTTCTTATGCTGTTTCTTTTGCGGTGCTGTACCCACATCTTCTTTATTAATCTTCATTTTCTTGTTTCTTTCGTCCTTAGAGGTGGTGGTTAAATGAAAACTTTCTGTCTTCTCATGTTTCAATCTTTCCTCTTCCTGGACACAGTGTGAGATGAGCTCATTAAGGGACCATGAGTCCTTTTGACAGTTGTAGCTCACCTTGAATTAACTGAAGTGTGCCAGAAGGGATATCAGAACCAAGTGTACCAACAAGTTTTCAGATAAATCCAACTTAAGTGCCTTTAGTTTTGAAGCAATGTGAGATATTTCCATAATGTACTCCCAAATGTTTCCTTTCCCTTTATACCTCATTGAGACAAGGTTTGTCAAAAGTGTAATTGTTTCAGCCTTTTCATTCTTGGCAAACCTCTTCTGAAGATCATCAAGGAAACCCTTAGCCGTAGTCACCTAATCGGACATAGTGCCCCGGAATGCTTTTGGAATAGCACGCTCCATGACCATTAAGCTTATGCGGTTTGATCGTTCCCATTTTTCCATCTTCCTCTTGTCATCAGAGGTGCTCTTATCAGTAAGTGTAGCAGGTTGATTGACCCGTAAAGCAAGGTCTAGGTCCATGACTCCGAGAACAATCATCACGTTCTCTTGCCATGCCCTGAAGTTTGTGTCATTTAGCATTGGAATTAAATTGATGCTAGCAGAGATATTAGCAGTAGAATCTGAAACTGAATTAGAGAACGATTATTATGAATAGCTCACATGAANAATAAACCTTTCTTTGGACCGATTTATTGATCACACATTAAACCAAATAATCGTCACATGTTTATCATCACAGGTGCACGTATGTTCGACTAAATATTGACCTTCCTTTGGGCCGACCAATATTTTCGTGAATAACACATGCACAAACACCTTTTAATATTTTAAATTAATTAATTTCCACAAGAGATGTTGCTTTGGCAACATGTTGCTTCGGCAACATGATGCTTCAACTAACTAACTTTCGAACGTTATATCTCTTAAAAGAGTCTTTAGTACCAAAATTTGAAAAAGAGAATCACCAATTTGCATATTTTGTTTAGTTTTAAACTTTAGGGGCCTTAGGATTAATAATTCAAAACTTTAAGGGGGCAAAATTAATTAACTCCAAACTTTAGGGGTTGAAATTAATAAACTTAAAACTTTAGGGACCATAAATAATTAATTCAAAACTTTAGAGGATCAATTAGAACAAATTTAAAACTTGAGGGGCCAAAAAATTGACCAATCAAAACTTTAGGGATCAATTTTTGAAGATTTGAAACTTTGGGGTCAATTTGAATTAATTATAAACTTTGGGGGCCAATTTGAATCAATAATTAAAGATTGAGGGCTTTAATTATAAAATTCAGAACTTTAATGGCCTGAATTAATTAATTTTTAAACCTTAGGCTTGAATTATTAAATCCAAAATTTAAAGGCCCAAACTGGAATATACCTTAAATGTTAGGGACTGAAACCTTAATTTTATAACACTAACCCTAATTGCAAGTAGGGGCCCCAACTTATCCAATTTTGACAACAAGCCCCACCCCAAATTCATAGAAGAAATCTGAAAAAACCCTAAAAAATTTCTTTCTTCTACTTCCTTCTTAGGTGGCCGAAGTAGCAGCGCCGGCATGGACCGACGCCGCTTGCAGCAGCGCGAGGCGCGCTGCAGCACTGTCGCAAACATCCAACGCTGCTGCATCTTTGCAGTCGTGCCAGTCGTCGAAATTTATTTTTTTATTTTTTTTAAAGCCCAAAAATCTGTAGCAAAAAAAATTATAATCTGAAATTTCAAAGACTTCAATCTAGATTCAGGAATATGACCAAGAATTATATACCAAATAGTTTTCAAACTCAATAACATATAGATCCCAAAATTGTCAAATTTGAAAACTTAAAAGATTATTGCAAGAACCAAATAAAATATTCGATTTTCAATGATTTAACATGAAAATACTCTGATACCACTTGTAGGATAATTTATTATCTTAAACCACCGGATCTTTCATGTTAAATCATCAAGAAATACATAAATTATGGCGGAAGCATACCTGAATCAGACATGGTTATTTGCAATAATTGAATCATGCGATATAGTCTTTCAAATCTACACGAAACTTCCTGAGATGCAGAAGAGAATGAATAATACGTAGTGTGATCTGGGGACTATAACTTTATTTATATAACGACGTCCTTTGACCTAATTTGGCCCATCATGAAATTAGGAACTTGGGCCCGGTCTCTACATATTTGTAAACCCACACTTTAATTGGATGCATAACGACCCAAATCGAAACCTTATTAGATCACTTTAAATGAGCTCAACCGAATTTGATAGCCTTTAATTTAATATACAATTATTCACACATATAAGCCCATTTATTGATTAAAAATCCTTACAACCTGAACCGGAGGCCCCGCTGCTTCAATGGATAAATAGACTAATCTATAAGACGGTAGCAAGATTTTTGGCAGAAGCGGAAAATTCAGTTATTGTCATTGTTTATGGTGAAGGACTTTGCTATTTATATACTTGACACTTTGATTTTGGTTGACATTTGCATTATTAATATTGTCAAGTATCAATAGAATGAAAAATCATTTGAAATTTAAACTGTCCAATAGAATAATATCACATGATAAAGTGTAAATTAAAATATACACAATAGTGTACATGTAGCAAGATTCCATGGTGAAAATAGGTAGAATATAGAGTAGAAAAAATGCCCAGTTTGCTTGTGCATCGGGATGCTGTAGTGCCGAAGTTTAACTTATGATTTTGTTAAAAATCATATTTACATCAATATATTTGGTGCTTGTTTGATAGAGATTTTAATAATTGATTTTTTGACCGTTACAGATAAAGTGGATCCTATCTGTAAGAGAAGAATTCAAAAATAACGATTGTAATAGTAAAATAACGATAAAAAAAATTAATTTCAATTAACTTTTTTAGCGGAAATATTATTAAAAAGTTAATAAAATTTGTAAATTCAGGATTAAATTTATCTTAAATTTTTAACGACCTTTTAGTTTAATCAAACAAGAAATTAAGAAAATAACACGTGAGATCATTTTTCTTTTCTCAACTAGTTTTAACGAGTTCTTTTATATATTCTTCTTGAAACTAATGATATAAAATTGTTTGTAAATTGATATTTTCAAAATTATTTTTACATCCTAATATATATTTCCGTGAACTTAAATTCAAATTTTAAAGGAGAACGTGTGAATAGAGATAGCAGAGGCCTGGGATACCATTTCATTTGTGCAAGTAATACGGGGTTCCTTGAGGTACTCTCACTTATTCATTTTTGTTTAGGTTCTCGAGATTCTCAATCGCTCCAACAGAAAGATCTAAATTCACTTTTTTCTAGCATTAATTATTAGTGTCTCTTAATTATTCAACTTTAAAATGACTTCACACAGGGTCATGCCAATAGAGAAAGCATAATTTTGATTGTACATAATTAATTTTACAGAATAAAACCAGATTCTCACACAAGGTCGGCTCCACTGCAGGGCCCAATGTAATAAAAAAATTCGGACTCCACATGGTGGAGACCTTTGTAAGAGGTCTCTGAACAGGGGATTTTGTACCCCCAGCTCGACTCATAAAGAAATTAGCGTATAACTTGACTTCTTAATAATTGTCACATCATCAAAGTTTTTCTCACTCTTTCCTTGTTTGAAAGTGATTAGCTCACATCATTGAAGTGTTTCTTACTTAAATATTTGTTAAACTTTAAAACGAGTTCACACATTGTCACTCTATTAAAAAAATTAGAGTATTTTTTGACATGTCATTAATAAGGGGCGTGTTTGATAAACTTCTGCTTTTAATTTTACTTTTTGTAAATTGAGTTTCTTGAAAATGTTATCTTAGACCGGTTTTTGATTCAGGAAAGATAGATAATTGTTTGAAAGTGAATAATATTCTCGTTACACTTTCTCAAATAAAAAAAATAAAAAGATCGAAAGAAAGAAAAATTATTATCGACATTTATCATAATTTTTTCTTACTTTTTTACCATGCATTTTACTTTTTTACCATGCATTCTATAAGTAAATCATTTTTCAAATGATTACTTTCATATAAGCATTGAACTTTAAACCGATTTCACACATTATTACTCTACTAGAATTAATGTATAATTTAACACGTCTTAATAATTGTCCCGATAAACTAAAGAGCATTAGTTAAAAGGTCCTTCTACCGCATATTTTTGAAAGGCTTGATACTTATCTTCTACGATTTAAAAGATTTGGACTTATCTATACTGTTTTAAAAGCTACGGAACCTTCGTTAAGAAATTTTCTAAATTAATAAGTTATTCTGAGTGATCTAATTTTAAGTTGGTCAAAGCCCTCAAAGCATGAAATAGGAATGGCCCTGCCCACATTATGAGTTGGTCAAACTCTATTTTTATCCACACAGTCCGTAAGTAACAAACCTGCTGCTGCTGCTGTCATAAACACGTCCAAGAAAATAGAATGCAACAGAAGTTATAAACGATGCAAAACCACAAGAACACAGTAGTAAAAATTCTTCCCAGATATGAAACAAAGGTTCGCCACAATAACAAAATATCAATGCTGGAATATAGATTGTCTGAACTCTTCATGTTATTACTCTCGCATTCGCATTTGATAAACACAAAGCAATTCAAATCCAATGTATCAATATTCACACTCCATATAATAGTGCAGCATGTGTCTACTTCTAGTTTGGACCATTCCCGGCTAGCGTTCATGTAATCTAACAAACTACTTGATAAATAATGAGAAGAAAGGGTATTCGAACCTTTAATTACTGAATACATAGTTCCAGTCACCGTTTCCAGCAGAAGGCAGCAGACAGCATTGAAGAGGATCAACCACTTCTCTGCCACTGTTGACCTGTGCATTTCGGAGAACTAATACAATGGCCTACCAAATGTTGCTACCTACACATCATTTAATCAATGATGTTATGCGCAGGCATGACATATAGCCATCCCGTGTAAACTAACAAGTATTGGCTATCGCTCTCGACAAAATAAGATATGCGCGTGTCATGAACTTCTCCCCATGTCTTGGCCAGAATATTCGGCACCACCAAATGCCGCCGCTGCTGCAGCAACGTCAAGGCCTTCATTGATGGATTTCATTATAGCAGAGAGCCCACCAGTAGAGCCGCCATTGGCAGCCATCCCTAATCCTAGAAGGTCGAGAGTAGCATGCTTCGGACCGAAAACCGATGGAGTTCCCAACATCAGTTCTGTCAAAGCAGATCCCCCATCACAGGCCAGTCCAAGTCCGAGTCCAAGACCAGAAACTAATGATGCACCCTCGGACTCAATCTCTTGCCTGCCCCATCTCTGGGGTTCACTTGAAGGTGACAAAGAAGAGACTAATCCAAACCCCCTCAGAACTGATGCATTTGATGCAGCTACCCCTACCTGAGCAGCTTTTTGAAGCAATGCCGTGGCAGACATAGCAGGCTGTGGCGGAGGAGTATACTGCATGCACTCTTGCCCTGCTGTTTTAAAAATTGATGGCCCTTGGTTCATCGAAAGGCAGAGAGATATGGGTTCTGAAGATGTACAGAGTGCAATGTCAGATGTCTGCTTAGAACGAGCCATAGATTCGAATAAATTGGGAAATCTGGGTGCTTGAGGTTGTAAACTTCTGGAAGAAGTTGATGAAGCAAATAAGCTGGCAAGAACATTACTGCTTGTACTACCATTGCTGCTGGAAAGACTGTTGCTGCTACAATTTGCAGGCGAGTCGGATACTGATGGCGCCTCCTCAAAAATTCGTGCAGTAGTTAGATTGTGACTGGCGCTTTCAGGCAACTCTGCAAATATAACAACATGAAGAAGAAAAGATTTAGTTATTGAAACTGGAAAGAACTAAACAAGCAAGGGAACTTGAGCTTTTCTTGTTCAAGGACTTCATATGAAGTTAAAAGATCATCAGAAAATAGTTCACTTTTTAAGCTTTTGGATTTCTTTGCTTTTGCCTAAACCACAATTATAGCTTATGTATTTTAATTCGTAATTGTAACATATTATTTGTTTGTATCCAGGGGACTTTTAGTTATTCAAATATATAACACTGTTCTTGCACGTTCAAATCACAGATCAGTTAGTCTAACACTATATGCAGATAAAAACAATTCACCAAAAGACAAAGAAACAACTAAACTCCAAGATAAAAGGCAGAAAAAGAACAAAACATTTTGGTCAAAGCACCAAGATTTTGAAGAGGAACTAATACACATAGGACAAAACCCAAATCTGAAACTATAACAATCCAATTCTTGGTCAAAGGACCTAGATTTTGAAAAGGAAGAACAGAGGACACGACAGCAGTGGAAGGTGGAGCTGATGGTGAAGCCTGTAGTGGAGGCGGTGGTGGTGGTGCCGGTGGTTGTTCCAGTGGCGGTGATGATGGTGCTGCCACCGCTGGTGGACTTGGTGATGGCATAACAGTTTGAATTTTCGGATCCTCATCAGTACTAGGAGGTGCCAGTGCTGTATTCTTTTTTGCACACTCCCCCGATAATGCGTCACAAAAGGCCCTGTGTGTAATGAAACTATCCCTCCTGCAGAACAAACACATGGAAAATCAACTCCAACTATCAAAAATCAATTAAAGAAGAGGCGTCTAAAGGCTACACAGAAACCACCATAAAGATCAATTCTTAACCTCAGAAACAAAGTCCCACAATCACATTTATACTCTCTCGATCCACATATCTTCGAGTGTGCCTTCCAATCAGATTGAACGGCATAATTTTTTGAGCATTTCTCGCATTTCCACTTCTTTTCACCATGTTTTCTGCAGAAATGCTTCTTGATCCCGGTCAAATCGCCCAGTGCCCGTGAAGGACTGTGGTGAATGCAGCCAGGTTCGGGGCACACATACACTTTTTTCTTGACTTCTTTACTTGATCTCTGCCTAAGCTTCCAAGGCAAATTATGACCCCTCCTATGAAGCTGCAAATTCTGATCTCTTTGAAACCCTTTATTGCAAATTTCACACACAAACCGATTCGTAGCCAACAAAGTATTTGGCGACAAAGCAATCACCTCCGCCTCGGGATCTAATGAAGTTACATGAAAAATTTTCCTTAAAAATCAAAATTACACTCTTCTTAACTCAATTCAATAGTATTGGAAAACGGGTACTAAACTTTTTGTATATAATTATACCTGGCATTCCGGGGAGATTTCGCGTTTTCTTGGCAGTTGATTTTGGAGGGGCAGTTTGATTACCAGAAGAAGAGTCCTTGGAAGCTGTGGAATCATTCATGGTCTAAAGCTATCTGGATAACATGGCATGGAATGACAAAAAATTTCAATTTCTGTTCTCCTGTGCGGCTATAAAGAGAAACATTTAAAAGGGCATTTAAATTAACAAATTTGAGCACTAGTAAAACATTATTTCTTTATATGCTATGCCTTTTTATAGATATCCACTAGTCAATCTTGCAAATATGGTAGCCAACCACCGGTTTAGGACCAAGACCCGGAATAGAAGAAAATCAGCTGATTAACATAACAAGCTGAATAAATTAATGGAAAAATCACCGGAAAATAGATTACCGGCAGTGAAGGGTAAAAGTAGTTGAAACTGTAACCAAAAATAGAGTTTTCAGAACACGGAGCTTAAATCCAGCAATGGCTACTTATGTTCAATTTCATCTTAAACTATTCTGAATATACGGCCGCAGGCGGTTCGGCGGCACGACGGAGATCGGAGAGAATATGGTCAGCGTAGTCGTCGGTGGTCCCGAAATTTTGAGAGAGGAAAAATTGAGGAAATTTGGGGGAACAAAAAGAAAGTGGGCGCATGTGTACGTGTCTGCGGGTGCACAACTTGTCTTTGTTGGGATCTTTACACTTCAACGCCACTTCTTTTGAACCTATTTTTTTATGTTAAACACTAAAAGCAAGGTCTTGTTTAGTCTCATTTTTCAAAAATTTAATTTTTTTTCCACGCTTATTTTAAATTACACGTTCTTTAAAAATTTTTACACATAAATATAAAATAAGTTACTTATAATTTATGATCACGTATTTTCTAACAAAATATTTTCATAAAATTCATTCTCTTTAAATCTCTATCGAACAGAAATTAAGAATAGTATCAAGAAATTAATTATTCAATGTTACATGTGACTGTCAATTTGTTAACATATTTATAACCTAAATGATTAGTATAAACTACATCATAATACAATGTTATAGTTGTTGAGATAAAACTTTGAATTAAACTACTTTGCTCAAAATTGGATGATTAGACAGTTGACATGCATGTGAATCTCGCGTGAATAAACTAGTCCAAAATAAAATGTGGACCCCGTCATTGCGAGGGTTGGTCATCCCCTCTATCAACCATTTTTCGATCACTATAGCATGATTGTAAAACTTTTACTTGTTTAGATAATATTTTAATTTAAGTACAATTGAAAAGTTTATGGACAAATCTATTTGATAATAGAGCTTTTCAAGTTAGAAGTACTGAAACAAGTATATTGAAGTTTAGAGTTGAAACTGATACGATTTTTGTAAATGATTAATCTTAACGATTTGTATATTGCTCAGATGTCATTCAGGCCTATTTGATGTTATAAAAAAAAATTGAGAATATATCTCTTGAAAATTGATATTTTGGAGATTATGTGATTATAATTAAGAAATGTATGATTAGATATGGTTTAAAAACTAATTTTTTGTGGAGGAAATGGTGGCAGATAGCCACCAAAAAAAGGCACTTTTCCAAAATGGTCGTTGACTACTGTTTAAAATAAAAAAAAATTTTGAAAAATCTGTAAAAACTTTAAAAACAATGAAAACTCAATATCACTCTCAAATTGACGCCTGAAAAAGAAGGGGAAGAAATCTTTTTGGAAATAATGCTAGATATCTTTGTAGATTATGTAAAATTACTGAAAATGACATTTTTGTAGGTGTTTTTGGGAAGAAATGGAGATCTCCGACACCTAGATCGGAGAAGAAAGGGAAGAGAGGACGGCCAGACGCCCCAGTCGTCTGGTCTGGGCCACCTGTTAAACAGACAGCCCAGCGGTCTAGGTCATCTGTTTAACAGGCGGCCCAGACCATCTGCTTAACAGATGACCCAGACCATCTAGAAATGATGGCCTGGCTTCCATCAATTTTTTTTCGTTGTATTACATAAATAATCTAAATACACAAAAATAAATAATGAACATTTAAATAATAAATAAAATGATTATTGAAATGATTATTGAAATGATAAATAAAAAATGTAAATAATGAATAAATATTAATAATCAAAATATTAATTAAAATTTAGTTGAAACAAATTTCTAACATTTAAAATAAATAATTAAATATTTACATTTACTTGTTCAATAAATAATTTAAATAATCTATCAATATAAATAATTAAATTAAATAATTTTAATGAACAATTGAAACAAATAAATGAAAAACAATTGAAATAAATAATTAATTTAAATGCATAAAATAAATAATGAACATTTAAATAATAATTAAATGATTATTTAAATGATAAATAAAAAACATAAATAATGAATAAATGTTAATAATCAAAATATGTAATTAAAATTTAATTGAAAAAAATTTCTAACATTTAAAATAAATAATTAAATATTTACGTTTACTTGTTCAATAAATAATTTAAATAATCAATCAACATAAATAATTAAATAAAATAATTTAAATGAACAATTGAAACAAATAAATGAAAAACAATTTGAATAAATAATTAATTTAAATGCACAAAAATAAATAATGAACATTTAAATAATAATTAAATGATTATTTAAATGATAAATGAAAAATGTAAATAATGAATATATGTTAATAATCAAAATATGTAATTAAAATTTAATTGAAATAAATTTCTAACATTTAAAATAAATAATTAAATATTTACGTTTACTTATTCAATAAATAATTTAAATAATCAATCAACATAAATAATTAAATAAAATAATTTAAATGAACAATTGAAACAAATAAATGAAAAACAATTGAAATAAATAATTAATTTAAATGCATAAAATAAATAATGAACATTTAAATAATAATTAAATGATTATTTAAATGATAAATAAAAAACATAAATAATGAATAAATGTTAATAATCAAAATATGTAATTAAAATTTAATTGAAAAAAATTTCTAACATTTAAAATAAATAATTAAATATTTACGTTTACTTGTTCAATAAATAATTTAAATAATCAATCAACATAAATAATTAAATAAAATAATTTAAATGAACAATTGAAACAAATAAATGAAAAATAATTTGAATAAATAATTAATTTAAATGCACAAAAATAAATAATGAACATTTAAATAATAATTAAATGATTATTTAAATGATAAATGAAAAATGTAAATAATGAATATATGTTAATAATCAAAATATGTAATTAAAATTTAATTGAAATAAATTTCTAACATTTAAAATAAATAATTAAATATTTACGTTTACTTATTCAATAAATAATTTAAATAATCAATCAACATAAATAATTAAATAAAATAATTTAAATGAACAATTGAAACAAATAAATGAAAAACAATTTGAATAAATAATTAATTTAAATGTACAAAAATAAATAATGAACATTTAAATAATAATTAAATGATTATTTAAATGATAAATGAAAAATGTTAATAATCAAAATATGTAATTAAAATTTAATTGAAATAGATTTCTAACATCTAAAATAAATAAATAAATATTTTCGTTTACTTTTTCAATAAATAATTTAAATAATCAATCAACATAAATAATTAAATAAAATAATTTAAATGAACAATTGAACCAAATAAATGAAAAATAATTTGAATAAATAATTAATTTAAATGCACAAAAATAAATAATGAACATTTAAATAATAATTAAATGAAAAATGAAAAATGTAAATAATGAATAAATGTTAATAATCAAAATATGTAATTAAAGTTTAATTGAAATAAATTTCTAACATTTAAAATAAATAATTAAATATTTACGTTTACTTGTTCAATGAATAATTTAAATAATCAATCAATATAAATAATTAAATTATATAATTTAAATGAACAATATAAACAAATAAATGAAAAACAATTGGAATAAAGAATTAATTGCAATGCACAAAATAAATAATGAACATTTAAATAATAATTAAATGATTATTTAAATGATAAATAAAAAGTGTAAATAATGAATAAATGTTAATAATCAAAATATGTAATTAAATTTTAATTGAAATAAATTTATAACATTTAAAATAAAAATTAAATATTTACGTTTACTTGTTCAATAAATAATTTAAATATTCAATCAATATAAATAATTAAATCAAATAATTTAAATGAACAATTGAAACAAATAAATGAAAAAAATTGAAATAAATAATTAATTGAAATGCACAAAAATAAATAATGAACATTTGAATAATAATTGAATGATTATTTAAATGATAAATAATTAAATGATTATTTAAATGATAATAAATGACTAATTGAAATAAATTCAATAAACAAGTAACTTAAATGTTAATTAAGCAATAAAAATAATTAATTGACATAAATAACAAAGAAATATAAATATTTTAAATTTTACAAGATGGATTACCATTTGGACGCCTCTATGAGACAGATTCCGGACAAAGTTACGTCTAACTATAACTTAACCAGCTTCGCATTACTCCTAGATTTGTTGGATGAGGAGCACGCAGACCTGTTACACCAATCCTACTTATTACGGTAATTCTGGCACAATTAGGAGATGCATTCAAAGAATGCGACGATATGTTTGAAAAGTTGAAGTTGAGGATGATGTTTATATTAGAGAGCATATTTGAGGTATCATCACAAGAAGACGTCGATAGACGTCTTTCATTTAGAGGTTGTTGATGACATTGACACATTCAACAATTATCCATGGGGACAAAGCTGACAGTTATCAGCTTTTCTGAACGATCCTGAGATACATATTATTCATTTGTGATTTATTTTGTACGTCATTTCAAAAACTTGATGTCTGGTTATTAACTCGATGAAATGTTAATTTGTCAACTTGAAGTGCTCATTGAGCTGACACCGTTGATCGAGGAGGAGGGTCAGAGTCAATTCGAGAAGATACAGTCGGCATGCGATAGGGTCCCAGACAGTGACAGAGAGGGTGGCGAAGATGGTGACTAGGAGGGTAGGGGTGAATGAGTAGGGATGTACACAGATGTTTCGTTAAAATCGTTATGGATGTCAGTGGGGATGGGAGAAGTGTTGGTGGAGGGGATGAAATAATTGTAATAATTATATTTATGAAATAATTGTATATATTTTTTTATTTAAGAAATAATTGTATATATTGTAAAATTTATTTAAATAAAGTAATGAAATATTACATACATAATATACACAACCAAATAAGATAATTTATAAATAAAATATCTAAATAAGAAATTAAATTAAATATTATATTTTTATTTAATTAAGTGATTAAATAAATAATTAAATATTAAATAAATAATATACATAACTATGCCGGAAATGACCCCCTAACTTGACAGATAATGTCGCGAGTTTGGATAATGTGATAATTATGCCAGAGAAGACGATGAAAGTGACATTCTGTAAGAAATATGTTATTGATGTGCCAAAACAAATGGTTAACAAGAGGACTAGATTGCTATCACAACACATTGTTTCTCCGTACACCATCGAAACAAAGAAGAGAACATCCGTCGACGGTGTAGAATCCTAAATAATTTTAAACACCTTATTGACACTAAGACATGAATATTGGATGGTTAAAGTATACTTCAAAATAAATAATATACATAACTATGCCGGAAATGACCCCCCAACTTGACAGATAA